AGATCCCAACATCAACATGTGAGTGGAGAGTTGTGTGCATAGAACATTGGATGTAGTCGCTCAATTCATTATTGTAAATTTTGCAATTCAACTTTGTAGTTTAAAATATTGCACATTGTGTTTTACGTAATTCAACATGCAAATTCACGATGTAAAATAAATCATGATCAAATGTCAATTTTTTATAAATTTTCTTCGTTTGCCCCCATTCAAGATTGACGCCGTATCAGTATTCATGCAGAATTTGTGCACACAGTATTAAACGAGTGTTTAAACTTTTGGCAATTTTTTTATGCTTACCTTTAGCTTGTGCCATCAAGCAAAGAGCAACCAGCAGCAGTACTACAACTCCAAAGAACTTCATCGTAGCAATTTCTTTTCTGCGTGTCGTCGTCCAAGAAAGTGTCTTTCCTGAAGTCCTGATGGTTTATATTTATTTCTCTGCATCGTGCTTTTATATAGTCGTATTGCGGTGCAAAAAATGTCGGTTTTGCTGTTACAGTACTGACAACAGGAAATGTAAAAATTCACGTCCTATTAAGTGGTTTTACTTGACGTTATCTCCTGTCACGTACGGAGTTGTTGTCAGTTGATTGAAGCCCAGAATGTCTCGTGCAGCTTTTTCGTTAAAATTTCTTGGCAAAAACAGACCTTTATTGCAAAGAAATATCATTCAATGAGTGCACACCGGCGTGTTCCTAAGACATGTGGTCACCATCGTTTCTTGGCACAAATCTGGCGTCCATTAGGTGAAACAATCCAGAAACCGCGGGGGTGGGGGTTGGGAGGGATATTATTGATCATTAAGAGATAAAATACAATCTCATCCTTTCTGCATGCGACTGCGCAAATATCTTTTAAGAAATAACTAACCAGTTCAGTATAGGATATAAAGTATAAGCAAACGAAATTGTAATGGTTTTAAATCGTAGCAGTCATTTTGGGGCTTCAGTAGTTTACTCTGTCTCACAGGTAGCCCAAGCWAGGTTTCTGTGGTGTCACGTTTAATATGGYAAATGTATGGCGGTACTTATCATACGCACTAAAACATGGAATGACCTAAAACCACCTAAAACCACCCAAAACCACCAACAACCACCTCACAAACAATCTAGAACCACCTAAAACAAGCCATAAATGTCTAAAAGTAAGGCAAAACAACACAGAAACAACAAGTCACGTTCATGAAATACGAGAATAGAACAAAGCCTTCACCTCCCCCCTCCCCCCCCCACGAAAAACAAAAAACAAAAACAAAAAATCAAATCTTTAAAGTCATGTTTTTACACTCACGTTCACAAAATACGAGGTCATTCTATTTATACTTTAGAACAAAACCTCATTATTCGGGTGGAGGGGGATGTGAGGTAAGGTTTTTTTTTATAATTTCTTTACCCGACGAATTTCGATATAAGAAGAAATCAATTGTTTGTTGTTGTTTTTAGCGTGTTAATGCCTTTACGAAGCTAGAAAATTGTTCGAGGAAAAAATCGATATTCATTGATAATCTGAGCAACGGAAATGAAGGAAAATAGATGAGAATATGTGGACCGCGTAGCACACTCAGGGGAGAAAGCGTTGCGTGACGACACTGAAAGCGGCTGTGGGGGAGACTAGTAGCACTTATGAAATACAAGATATTGCTGGTTTTCACATGACGTCATTAAAACATCAAAATCTAAACTATAGATCGTATAAAGACATTTCTCAGGTATGTTTTAGAAATCAGTGTTATAAGTCACAAGAAAAAATCTCGAGTCATTTTGATGTTTGGTTCCCGAGTTATAAAGGTTGTGTTTGTGTCACGCAATGCCGTCACGTGTATGTAAATAGCGATGAAAATATTAAAATAATTTACTCTAGTTGAAAGATTTTCCCTTAGACAAGTTTGAAAGATCTATTTAAGGTATATTTAAGTGAAAAATATTCAAACGTATTAAATATTCCATCATTTTAAGCCTTTGGAATTTCGTCCGCCATGATGGTGTACCAACTTAGAACACCAAGATGGCCTCTCCATACATTTTAACAAAAAATTGCGTCATGTTTACTCGCCTATAGCTCCGCAACGAAATGCTTTACAGCCTTAGAATTTGGCCAGAATATGTAGTTTGGACCGCTTTACAAGAATATAAAACTTGTATTTCATTATAATGCGAATTTACGCTTTTGGAATTCATGATGACGTAGGTGAAAACCAAGATAGATAAGTTATAGTGCTTTTGGAACGAGGTTATTCCGGGCGAAAGGGTCTTTCGCCCGGAATAACCTCGTTCCCAAGCAATAACTTATCTATATTTCTATATCTTGTAGGAGGAAAATACGTGAGTCAACATTGCGTAAGCGGCATCATTGGCACAACTGCATGTGTGTGCATGTGGT